AAAAAAAAAAAAAAAAGAGTAGAAATGCTAAAGGAGTAAGTTACATCCATGTAAGGTAATTCATGAGTTGCTATGACACAGTCATCTTGATGTACATAGTCATATTCAGCCGGCTGAACATGAGCCAGCAGTGTGCCAAGGTGGCCAATGGCATCCTGGCTTGTGTCAGCAATAGCGTGGCCAGCAGGGACAGGGAAGGGATCTGACCCCTGTACTCGGCACTGGTGAGGCCACAGCTTGATTCCTGTGTTCAGTTTTGGGCCCCTCACTACAAAAAGTACATTGATTGACTCGAGCGTGTCCAGAGAAGGGCAACGGAGCTGGTGCAGGGTCTGGAGCACAGGTCGTACGAGGAGCGGCTGAGGGAACTGGGGGGGTTTAGTCTGGAGAAGAGGAGGCTGAGGGGAGACCTCATCACCCTCTACAGCTACCTGAAAGGAGGGTGCAGAGAGCTGGGGATGAGCCTCTTTAACCAAGTAATAAGTGATAGGACAAGAGGGAATGGCCTCAGGTTGTGCCAGGGAAGGTTTAGACTGGATATTAGGAAGCATTTCTTTCCAGAGGGATTGTTATGTGTTGGAATGGGCTGCCCAGGGAGGTGATGGAGTCCCCATCCCTGGAGGTGTTTAAGAGTTGGGTTGACATAGCGCTGAGGGATCTGGTGTACTGTCAGCGTTAGGTTAATGTTTGGACTGGATGATCTTCAAGGTCTTTTCCAACCTAGATAATTCTGTGATTTTGTAGTCTGTAGGTCAGAAAGTCTATAGCCTGCAGGAGCTGGAAAGACAGACCAAAGTAAAGAGCACTGTGTACATGTATCCGTCTGTTGGGAGGTGTTAGGATAGGTAGGTACTCACTGGTGTTATCTGACAGTTTTTCTATTTATTTTGGTTTCATCATCTGCATTCTTTATTTCTGTATGTTTTCATGTTTCTCCTATAAGAACTGTCCGTACTGCTCCTACTCACTGAAAAGCATTTTTTTCCTTACTCTGTTACGCTTTCTGTAAAATACAAAAATTAATCATAATTAGCTTTTTTCATTTTTTTGCATTTCCAATGTCTTTATGGGTAAGCTGCTTGCAGCTATGTTGATAAACAGAAAAGGCATGTATTTAACTCTCTGCTTGTCATCGTGGAAACTTAAACTCAGTGAAAGATGAACCTGGAGAAATAAAATAGCTGGTAATCTGAGTGAGTTTGTGAGCATGTCCTCTGCTTTTTCTACCGTCCCTGTCATTACATGTGTTACATGTCTGCAAGCCAGACAATGGATGGAATAATACACGTGCAAAGCTTGTCTATAGTGATTTGTGAATTGTTGGTAGTATCAAAACCACAAGAAGAGGTGGTGTTTTTAACAGCTGTTTCTAGACTTTTGTCAGCAGTGACTTCTTATGAAGCTGTATAGAGGCTGCATAGTGTAGTGTGGGTTACAGGGAAATTCCTGTATAGCAATCGATTATGGCTCGAGATGAAAGCGTGTTTCTCTGCTTGCCCTTCTGTAATGTGATGCGTATACATCCACTCTGGTATTATTGGCTGAGTTCTGATACTAGAGGCAATATGAAGAAAGGTGTTTCAACTAGTAAAAGAAAAAAAAGTGGCAAGTCAGGAAAGCGGCCATATCATTTTGCTTCTGTTTCTGTGTCACTGTGTTGGTTGCGATGTTCTCTTAACTTATCTTGGATGCATCGTTTATAGAACTGGGAGAATACTATTGATTTATATTTTTCAAGAGCTTTTGTATGTCCATGAAAGAGACTGAAAATTGTTGTCAAACATGGAAAATATTAGCATTAAATATATAAAATGATGGGCATTATATCCAGCACTAGTTATGCTGGATATGATTTCTTCTATTTGATTTGGCTTCATCTATACCACATATGGACTATAGCTTTTCTCCTTTTAAAAGTACTTCTCTCCATTGCATAGACGTTGCAGCACAGGAAAGACTATTTCAATGGACATTCTCAAATTTTGCTTGTATAGATATGTGTATACATATATATGGAAATATGCATAGGTATTAAAAAAAGTTAGGAACAGTTAATGTTACTGATTAATTTATGCAGTATATTGGATAAAACCATATTACAGGTGTGTAAAATGATGCTTCTTTTATACCAAGACAAGAATTCAAGACACCTTTCTGCACACAGATTGGCCTAAAGTGGAAATACAAAGAATATTTTTGATTCCTTCCATGCTGCTCTGTATTTCATCATAAGTAGCAGAAATTATACTGAATTTTTCTGAATTTATTTTTATGCGATACAGCCATTCATTACTTTCCACGATTGTGGAGCTATACCATACCTCTTGTCGAAAAAAAGCATTCTGATACTTTGTTGTACATGGATATTCCTGACGTTGTGGTCTTGGGAGCCAAGTGTAAATGAAGGTGGCAGTACAAATTGCTCCCAGCAGAGCTAGTTAATAGATTAAGGAAGGTCACCTTTAATAAACAGATACATCCCAGATTTATTCTTCACAGGTAAGCCTAATCACAACAGAAGCTTAAAAACCAGAAAATATCTATCAAATTAGGATAAGAAAAAAAATGCAGTCAGGCAGAGTTCCTGTGTAAGTAGTTTTTCTTGTATAAGTGTGCTCTTCTAATAACAACTTGCATCAGATTTGAGTTTACTCATTGCAAATGGTATAATATCAACAGTAAGAAAATAATAATTGATCTTCCTTTCACTTAAAGGTTTACAGAGGATTTTGTTGGGAATCCTAAAAAAACCTTAAACTGCTATTTACAAATTTGTCATCTTGTTATAGTGTGCTTTGGGATTGTAAGAAAGTTCCTGAGAAAATACATGACAAGATGGCACAACTCCTGGCCAGTGGTGCCTCTAATCCACAAGTATTCCTTCATGCTTGCTTGCTTACTATGTCAGAAGAAAAAATACTTGTCCCCTAAAGTTGTATTTCTCATACTTTATTCTTAACATTTACTATACTTGGTTCTTCATGTAAGTATAAAAACAGCTTGTGCTTTCATTTTACAGATATTGACAACAGTGGGTATGTCAGTGATTATGAGCTTCAGGACCTGTTTAAAGAAGCAAGTCTGCCCTTGCCTGGTTACAAGGTCCGTGAGATTGTAGAAAAAATCATTGCAGTGACAGATAGCAACAAGGATGGAAGAATCAACTTTGAAGAATTTGTCTCTGTAAGACATTCCATTTGGATGTTTTCCTACTGTCTGATACCTGTTAAGAACTAGGATAGAAAACTGAATGAGGTGGTACAACTCGGTACTATTTTGGTACAAGTAACTAATATTTTGAGAATGGGAAAGTTTTCTGTGACAATTTACAATATCCTTTACAATTATTTTCCAGTCTTTGTTTCACTCTATTTAATTTAGTAGATGTCATTTGTGCAGCATGTGAGACCACGGTAGTTTTAATCAGTCCTACTTTCTATTTCCTCAAAGATAAGGGGATGGACTATATATTTTAGGAACTGTTGGGTCAGCCCTTGCTATGACAAAAGAGTAGACAATTAGATGCTGGTGTCTGAATTTTCTTAGTGGTAAACTAATCATTGTGCTACTATGCTTAATCTCTATCCTAAAGGCTATTTTATACTGGGAGCGAGGTACAGTTTTTCATTTTTATTGAACAAATTTGAAAGTTTAGACATTTTAAATGTGGATCACTCACTAGTGTGCTTTATTTAAGAGAAACAAAAACTTCAGGCTTTTGGTTTGTGTGTGTGTTTGGGGATGATTGGGTTTTTCTTTGAATTTAGAGTACTGCTGCTAATTGCAGCAGGTTGCTTGTTGAACTAGTTATTGATCTTTCTTTCTAAGATTCTAATTTGCAATGGTTCGTATGTGAGATGCAAGTATTTGTGTCCAGGTATTGAACTGTATCTTTTACTTACACTTCACTGTCAGTTTTGAGACCTCTACAGTATTTGGGTAAATCTAGGATGTATCAGTATATCCAGTGTGGTTTACATTGCAGGAAGGTAGGAAATGGTATCAGCTTGCTTAAGGGCATGTGTAACTGTCATGTAGTAACCTTTTACTGTAAAACATATAATGAAGTGGAAGAAATATGCTATAGTCATTGAAAACGTGTATATCTTTAGTTGTTTTCTTCAGTTTACCAAAATATCTGTGGCAAAATTGTGTAGATTGTTGAATGTTTACTTTTTTAGATCGCATGATGGCTTAATAAACATAGCACTTGAGGTACTCACTGAGAAATAATATATTAGATATCCAGTATGCAAGTTTCATGAAAGGATTTAAACAAGTTTTACCCATACAGTAAACTTTTTTCAGAGCAGAAGTCAGTGTAAATACCAAAGGCAGTCATGTTAACTACTGACTCTTGAGTACTTACATGAGTTAACGCTTAGTTATTTGAAGGTGTGATCAATCACAAAATACACTCTCATTTTGGTTTTATTCCAGATAATTCAAGAACTGAAAAGTAAAGATGTTAGCAAATCTTTCCGAAAATCAATAAACAAAAAGCAAGGTATTACAGCAATTGGGGGAACATCAGCAATATCTAGTGAGGGGACACAACACTCTTATTCAGGTAAGACATAATTAAACACAAGCAAATTTTTCATGGAGGAAGACTTGAAATTTGCACTGCAGACCAAGAAAAAAACCTGAAAAGTGTTGCTGTTAAAGCAAATTAACATAGAGAAAGCATGTGGAGATGGACAAGGTAAGTGTGGGTGATAGTTTAAAATGTGTGTTGTTGTGTTGTTGCTAGTTTCATGCTGCCCTCAGAGTTAAGTTGGGCATCTTTGTGAGAGAAAAAAAAAATGAAAACAAGCACTGATAGCCTGTGGTGGTGGTGAGAATAAATGGCCCTTTGGTGTACTTCTAGTAATGCTAGTCAAGTTTTTGGCCTCATTACATGCTAATCTAATCATTTCTATATTCAGATAAAAATGAATCCCCATTGTCTTTTCCACAATTTTAACTAAAATGAAAAAAACCCACCAAACTATATAACCTTTCTGGATGAAAGGACCTCCTCAGTTGTCTCTGTGCAATTACAGAATTGTTCACTCCCATATGATTTTTGCATAGCCTATCTCATACTTGAGAAGTGGCTTTTAATATTTAATCTCTGTTTCTTTCTACCTTCCCCTGCTGCATGTCACCTAAGTCGGTAATTGTGCCTAATTGCATTGCAGCTCCTGGTCAGAATGGTAACCCTCTTCCAGGATCATATTGCAATAAGTGTTACTGCAACTTCTTTGATTGACTCAAGTCTGGGATTTGCTGTGGTTCCAGAAGTGTGTTAAGATTCTATATATGAGGAAGATTCACTTCAGTTAGCTAAAGGTGGTGATACCCTCTCTCTCGGTATCATCCTTATAGCACCAGCTGAATTTGGTGTATCTCCAAAGCAGGGAGTGTGTTCCATCTCAAAGGGTGCCTGTAGGGGGGACACCTTCAGAGCTAATTGTTTAGACTCCCTTTCACTTTTGGTGGAGAGAAACTGACCTCATTAGAGTGCAATTCATCTGACCTGGCCTCATCACCCATCTAATTTATGATGAGATGAAGCATGTACTAGAATTTCACGTTTCTTCTCAGTGACTGTGAAAGAAGGGTAATGAATCAGGGGTAAGTACCTGTCTTGTATGCTTCTTGAGGTGAGGTGAATACCACCTGTACTGTCTGGGAATTTGGATACTGATACTTGATTGTTGTCTCAATAAGCATTTTTAGATACGTAGTAATAAATCCTGCACTAAATATGAAAAAGAATTTAAACCTGAGGTACTAAACTTTTAAACTTTCTCAAAGCTAAACACAGCACAGTAATCCAGATTATAGTCTCAAAAGTACCACTAGTCTCTGAAATTCTAGTAGAACGCAGAACGAAATGCTGCATTTCAAACCAAGGCGCATAGATTGAAATGTTGCACATCTGAGATCACAAATTTCCAGCTTTTCACTGTAATTGCTGAGAAACTGAATTTGAAGTCTGCCATGATGATATCTTCCCCATTATGTCACTGTGATTTTTATGTTGTCCTTCAGAAAATCACCAGATTTTTAGAGGGTGCAGTAGAGGAAAGATCAGTTTGTACTGACCATTTTATGTGTTCTTTGCCACTGGTCTGATTCTTTCCATAACCGGCCCCTGTGAAACTAAGGGGTTTTGTTGCAGATGAACCTCTTTGACCCAAGTCTGATGCTTAGTAGTATATGTTCGTGGAAGAGATTATAAATTATTTCAATGATGTTTTTCTTTTCAGAGGAAGAAAAAGTTGCTTTCGTTAATTGGATAAATAAAGCTCTACAAGATGACCCAGACTGTAAGCACCTCCTACCCATGAATCCATCAGATGCCAGTCTTTTTAAATCCCTTGCAGATGGCATTCTCCTTTGGTGAGTCCAGGGTTGTGAGAAAGGAAAGAAATTAACCTCAAAGGTTAAATGTTGATCACACTGACATGAATTGGAAAACTTCTGACAGGCTTTAACATCAAGACTCAACTCTTAAATATTTCAACCAATGTGAAAGATAGGGAAAATCTCTTTGCCCAGGGAAATGTTATTTTTAGTAAATTTTTTTATGTAACTCTGTGCATATGTTACATAAGTGGGTTTCCACTTCAGGTCCATAATTATATACATCAGATATGTGCAGGCTGTTTATAAAGGAGGTAATTACACAGTTCATATATTCACTAGCTGAAATAATTAGAAAACTTTGCTATTTCAAAAATTTTAACGGTTACTAAATGTAGTTACTAAATCATGGGATCAGAGGAATTAAACATTAACATTTGAATTAAATCTGTGGTAAAACAGAGAGCATATAGTAGGTCTTTTAGGTTTAGTCTGCTGTAACTTGCTAGTTAAAGTAGACGAATAGTGCTTGTTCATACACCATGGTAACAAGGAATTAGCATATTAGTATTGATGTGAATTAGTCTTTGAGATCTTTGTAGATGCAGGATACTATAGAAATTCAGTGGGGAAATATATTGTATATAATAGAAAGACTTTCACTAGAGACTGCATTACTTCAGTTTACAGTTTTAATCTTCTCAAGAACGTTATTTGACAGCACAGACTTGCTCTGTTGCTTAACTATAAACCCAGTTGCTCAAGTTTCTTATTCCATGTTATCTAGGGTTTTCTGGATGAACATGCAATTATTTAACAGGGAGAGGAGATTTAGAGGATGAGGTGGTCCTTTTTTTTTATCTTGTCAGAAATATTTATAGCTAGTTTGAAGTGTTAGGAGTTTATTCAAACTTTCATTTGACATAAAATATATTATTTGATTATAAACTCTGACTTTTCTTCCTTAGCAAAATGATCAACTTTTCACAACCAGATACAATTGATGAAAGGGCTATTAATAAGAAGAAACTCACTCCTTTCACTGTCTCTGTAAGTACTGCACAGAGAGGAACTTGCCACAAATGAAGAAGTAAAATATTTTTCTATAGACTTGTTTTAATGACAGTTCTCCTGGTGGATAAAAAAAAAAGTTCTGTGTATTAAAAAAAAATAATTCAAAGCATGAAATTGTATTTTCTGAAATTGCTGAATTCTCCTGTTTCTTAGATGATTTACAGGAAAACTTGTAAATTTTCTTATTCCTTATTTCTTTATTTCCTTATTTCTTTCCCTATTTTCTGTTCTCATTTTGCTTTACTAAGTATCTGAAGAAAATAATTTTAGACTTCTGAGTGGATGATCGGGTCATATTTTAGCAATGCAGAAGGTATCTGCATCGCTGTATACTGTATGGTAGGGTGATGCATTTTCAATAGTGGAGAGTACCTTGGACAGAAGATGAGACTTTCAGTTGTGTATGAAGTCATGAAAATATTTGAGAGAAACAGTTTTTAAGACTGTAGGTTTGGATATAAGAAAACAGGTGTGGAAGAGGGGAGTAGATCCATAAATTACCAGCCTGATGAGGAGGGGGAAAAAAAAAATCCTGATTAAAAACCTCAGTTAATTGCCAGACGTTTCATTTCAGGCTGTGACATGAAAATAGGAAAAGTTAAAACATACCATGTTCTAAATCCTTCAAGTGGGTTTTGTAATCTCTACTTAAAGATGTGTCAGCAGACATGATACTACATGTGTTTATGTTGTCTCTGTAGATAGTTAAAATATGACATGAGAAAACAGAGAGTAATATTTAGGAGAGCTGCCAGGTTTTTGGGTTTTTTTTTTGAGTGTGTCGTCTGTGACAAATTGCTAATTTTATCTTCAGTGTCAGGATGTTGAATTGCCATGGGTTTCTTATACTGTCTGTTCAGTTACAGTTTAACAGTTGCTTGAACAAATGTGTAAGCCTGGGTAAGATCCAAGATGGGATGACAGTCATGTCAGTAGACTCCTGCACAGGGCAGAATTCATATGAGCACATTTTTCTACAGGATCAAGCCCCTGATATTTTAAGCAATATAATTTAATTTGTGTATGTGATACTTACGAATTACAAAAAACATTTTTGTTAGAGTATTCGTCAACAATACAACCTGCAGAAGGTGGTCCACAATTTTTTTGGTGAGTCCACACTGTCAGTAATGTCCATTAAATCTTGATAACATACGTGGTGGTTCACAAAAAAAATCCAGAGTGCAGTTTTCCACTGGGAATCATTGAACTAATGCATTATTTCTTATAACTTCTGAAACTTAAAAAATTTAATATGAACAAAATTACTAAGAATTACAATCTTATAGATTTGTTAAACAATGATATTCCAAATAGGAAAATCTAAACCTGGCTCTGAACTCAGCATCTGCTATTGGCTGTACGGTTGTCAATATTGGATCACAAGATCTGCAAGAAGGAAAACCACACTTGGTGTTGGGACTCTTGTGGCAGATCATTAAAGTTGGTCTTTTTGCCGATATTGAGATCTCCAGAAATGAAGGTAAGAGTAATGCCAGGTATAGCAATGTTGGCAATTTGGAATTAAGTGAGACCACAACAGCAATGATTTCAGCTTTTTTTCAAACTTGCTTTTAGCTCTTATTGCCTTGCTAAATGAGGGGGAAGAACTAGACCAGTTAATGAAGCTTTCCCCAGAAGAGCTCTTGTTACGCTGGGTGAACTACCATCTGGCCAATGCAGGATGGCAGAAAATCAGTAACTTTAGCCAAGACATTAAGGTATGTAGTTATTGCTTTGATAATTTAACATAATCGTATTTAAACACACAATGCGTAGAAAAAAATTAGATCAGGAGTATTTAGAAAAATAGTATTCATCTACTTTTTCCAGCTATAGGTTCATCCTGGCATTTTTCAACACTGAAAGGTGTTTGTTTTGATCTCTCATACCCTGTTCAGATGCTCATACCATGTATTCCCACATCACAGTGTAAAGAGAACATTTTGGAGAAGCTCATATTCAGGGAAGTTCTAATGTTCTAAGATTGTTATTAGAGTTATTTAGGACAATTTGTACTACCCTTATTAGTTATCTTTTTCCTGTCCATCCTCCTCTGCTTAGGGGTCTGCAGATACCCATTTTTTTTTCTTTCTTTTGTTGTTTTAAAGATGTGTATGGCTTTAAACCTCTTCCCAGTGCCTGTTTGCTCATGGTGACTGCCCTTCCTCTACCTGACATTCCACAGAGGAGTAGGAAACCTCTTGAGGAGAGAGCAGTTATTCAGAGGACTGTGTGGAGTAGCTACTGATCCTTGATCCAAGGAGAGAGCAACCCCCCTCAATCACTGTGCTTTGCTGCTGTGCTGATTTACTGACCCAAGGGGACTGAAAGGCATGCTGGTTCCTTGGGGCAGATGGCAGATCTCTGTATTTCTTCTCCTTCAGTCATTCTGCATAAGGTATGCAGAGTACTGCAGAAGAGAGAAAACCCCAACTTTTTAAAACTAAAAGCAAAGGAAGAACATTCTCTAAGGTGATAGGTCCTCTTTTAGTTGAAGAAAACCATGTCATTAATTGCTAGTTCAATCTTTTGAAATACCAGCAAGAAGGCTATAATTAAAGCAAACCTTTACTTAGTAACAGTTTCCATATAAAATTCTATGGTAAAAATGTTACATGCTATTTAAGAAAAGTATTAAACATTTCTAAAACTAGCAGTTTTTTGATTTATTTTCCTAGTTTCATAGTGGGGGAAAAAACCTAGAAGCATACTGAAAACTGCATCAAATTAAATATAATTTCTGCTGTCACTAAAGATTCACCCTAAAAAAAGCCACTTTGCTCTCCATTTTTAATTCCATTACCTCATGAGTTAAGACAGATACATTTTTATAGAACAGTCTGTTTGAAAAGGATATTGAAAGAATAAAATACTAACACTGAAAATAAGATCCATATTGGGGTTTTTTTGTGGATAACCTGTATAAATTTGCCTTCAGTATCTTAACTACAACTGTCTAGTTCATATTCAGCAGAATAAATTTAACATTGTCCAGAATAATTAGCAGGCATTCCTTTTCTCCATCAGCTGGCTAAATAAGTTCAATGTGAAATAGCATAGTAAAATGGTTCTATGACCTTATCCATATTCACTGAAATTAGTGTGTCATATTTTTTACTTCTGTGGCTTTTGAATTGGACTATAAGCAGTAAATAGCTATGAAAGTCTACATACTGGCTCTTTTTAAAATATTACACTGCTTGTTTTAGGATTCAAGAGCATACTACCATCTGTTAAATCAGATTGCACCCAAAGGAGATGGCCTTGATGAACTGCCCATTAAAATTGACTTTTCAGGATTTCATGTAAGTATCCAGAAATGTAAAAATAGACTGGAATTATTGGAGACCTCTATGTATGTATGTATCCAACATCCTGGTTACAAGCCTGTCCCAGAATCCTCTTTTGTTCTGTAAAGCATAGTCAAGATCAGTCAGATTCCTCAAAGTCACAAAAGCTTAAATGAATAAAACTTGAGTAAAGTTTCAGAGTGCTGCTGAAACAGGGTCATGCATCCTGCAGTCTAAAATTTGGAGCTATGCTTTGCTTGGAGTAGTGTCTAACTGCTTTTTTTATTTTCAGTTGGATCCTCCTCCAGTTTTGCTCTTCTGTAATTCAGACAAGGAAAGAGTAGACTTCACAAACCTTGTGATCTTTCCTCCAACCAAACAGCATTCAGAAATAGCATGTGGACCGTTCCAATATCCAGCAGGAAAGTGTAGCATCCATGAAGCCTTAAGTTGTAAAGGGATAGAGGGTCTAAAATCAGCCTAGGTAGATGTGAAAACACTTTTCACTAGGCTGCTATATAATGCTTGTTGGAAGGATTATTCTGAGAATGTATTTAATGCAAAATTGAACTCCATGCCTGGGATATAGATATCTATATTTCAATCAGAATCTTAAATGGAATCTTGTTATTCATTTTAATAATGAAAACCCACATGCAAAATTGCATTTGCTTTACAAGCTTTAGTTCTCTTGGACTCCTTCACGAGGACAGCTCTGTTTTGTTTGTTTGCTTTTGTTTTGGATGCTTTTTTGGAGTCAGAAAGGATAGTAGCTCATTTTTGGTTTTAATGTAATTTCCTACAATTCATATGTTCATGTACTGTAAAGGGTTATAAACCCATATCAGTAGCATGCAACAACTTGTTCTAGAGAAAGTTTCTGGGTGAGTGTACCAATGTTGAATTACTGTCTTATTCAATTCTAACAGCAATTCAATGATTGACTCATTTCCATATAAATAGTAAGTCTTAGTGTTGTGAAGATTAGAGGCAAAAAGTATATGCTACAGAGTTTTGAACACCAATTTTTTCTGCGTAGATTAAAAATAATATAGAAGCATAAACAAAATCACACACAGGTTACCAATTTAAGGTGATTTAGAAACAAAAATATTAAAAGGAAAGCAAGGTAGTGAAATATCACATTCTGAAGATTTCAAACTCTAACTGAGGGTTTTGGGCATAATTTTTAATTACTATGCTTGAAAATATCAGTTCAAAACAGTGATGGTGAACCTTTGGTACATGTAGCAGAATATGCAGTGTGGGAATCAACAGCCTGGAAATAGAAATATAACCACTACACCTCTGGCTGCTACTGCTGTTGCTGCAATTCATGAGGAAGGCTGGACAGGGAGCCACAGAGGCAAAGGACAGAAAGAAAGCGTAAGGAAGATGGGAAGAGAGGAATTGTTGTAGTCTGTTAGAGCTAGCTCAGGCACTGGGAAAATGAGGGAGGAACTGTCATGGGTCATTCAAGGATTTGCTGAACTGAAGATTCAGTGAAGAATGGAAACATGCTAGTATTCATTTTTTTTTTTTTTTTTCTTCTAGGATAAAAATGACTTGAGGAGGGCTGAGTACATGCTTCAACAGGCAGATAAATTGGGCTGCAGACAGTTTGTTACTCCAGCTGATGTGGTTGCAGGCAACCCTAAACTCAATCTGGCTTTTGTTGCAAATCTCTTTAACACATATCCAGCCCTACACAAGCCTGACAACTCATCTTACGATTTCAATTTATTAGAAGGTACTCAACTTACTAAGCATTCAGGAGACAAGAATATTAGTGATTTCTATTTAAGTATTGCTTCTGTGTTGTAATATAGGATCCCTGTGTGATGGTGCCTGTGTTAACACCAGCATATAGAGCTTTCTGGCTAGCTTTCAATATAAGCCTTAGTAGAAGTCCCTGTTTCTGTGAATGTTGTTCACTTGTGTTAGCCTGACCAAAGGCTATTCCTGAATAACCTTCTATGATTCATTTGCAGCAGCAAAACTGATCCTCTTACTCCTTTTCCAGTTTTCTGTGCTTCTTTCCATGCTGTTGATATTTTAGCTGATACACAAATCCTAGCTTTCCGTAATTTGCAGTGCTGTACTATGCAACTGTAAATAGTCAAAGTACTTTTCACATAGTGTTTATATGTGTGTGTGTATGTGTATTAGTTTGTTGCCTTTTAAAACAGGAAACATTAAAAAAAGGTTTCTGTATCAGCAACCTATATTAATCTATTGCATCAGTAACCTATATAGACCCTAGCATGTCAGCAAGTTTGGGCTTTAACTGTTCAGTTCGGATGCCTAATGCTAGAGATAAAGGGATAATTGGTAGCAAACTTTGGCTGTTACCCTTTCTGTGGACCAGCTAATCTAGGATAATGAAATGGCTCCTGCCAGTGTATTTCACAGTTATTGACTGATCTCAAGGGAATGGTGAGAATCAGGGATGCCGCACTGGGGAGAATCATCAGCAATGTTCACACATTCCTCTGCACTGCCTCCTCCTGCCTTCCTCTTACTGTTCCTATCAGGTTTCCTTTCCATCTAGGTGAGTCCATCTTCCTTTGCTCCTCTTTTTTTTCATATTTTGTCTGCTCTGCTGCATCCCTTTGTCACAAATCTTGTATGCCTCAGACCACTCCTGTTTCAGGCTTCCTGCTCTTCTAGTTTCAGCTGGGTACCAGCATGGTGATAGAGGTATCTGAGCACTGGAGCTCAGAGCACTGAGCACTTCCCTTTTCAGCTGTGATATCCCTAGTCACTGCAGTCCCTGCTGTCCAGGACAAATGATTGAAGGAAAGGCCTGCTCTTCCTCTGCTGCAATTTTGTTAGAAATATATGCTCTTGGAAATGTAAACAGGAGCTGTGTGGAGGGGGAATATGTTCGCTTCAGCTTCTCTGTTCTGAACATAAAGTTGCAGGTGTGATTCAAAATACTGAAAACGTGGTCAAATTTAGAAGAGTTTTCATTGGCATGGCAAAACCCAGCTGAACTACTTTCTGAACTTTCCTAAAATATCTACATGAGATCTTATTTAGTCTTAGCTAAAACAGTTTGTAAAAAGTTACAATCACCTAAATCTAGATTATGATTTTGTAATGATAAATACTGGCCAAATTTAACTTACTGTTTATAGTACATATTCTAGAAATGGATAATCATGCCAATGTTATCTGTTCAAAGGCAAGTAGACTCCTCTCCTTTGCCCCCAAATAACTCCTGTGCTGTCATGTAAATCTAAACTGTCAAAAGAGTTATTTCAGCCAAAAGACAATGTTGTTAATGTGGTTTTCTGTTAAATTGTTTTATTTTTTTCCCTGAAATCCTGTGTTTTTACTGATGTTTTCTCAAGATAGTAATATAAAATTTAAGACATTCATTTCTTTATAGTTTCATCATAGATTGTCTGTTGAAATCTGACTCATAATTTATAATGCTTTCCTATTTTGCTTCATGAAATGCAGATTTGACCCCTCCTAATGTAGGTACTGTATTTAGTACTTTTCTGTGCTCCATAAAAGTGTTTATTCTGGGTTTTTTCTCCCCCCACCTCCCCCACCCCCATGTTTTAATCATCTCTGTCCCTTTCTGGTCGATTTTTTCATTGTTCTTGTATTTTTCTATTGCTTTAATATGCCGTCATAAGTAAAAGAGAAGAAAAAAATCCCCAAAGGTCTAGCATGATGCATAGAAAAGGGGAGCAGGACTTGCAGTAAGTCAAATGCTGTCTAGTTCTTTCTGTGGGTTTAACCAGTAGGGGCTTTCCATGAACCAAGATGTAAAGCTCTAGGCATGTGTGGATGAGGAGATCTTTCTGAAAGTCTTCATCTTCCTGCATAAATTCCGTATTTTCAGTGACTGTTCCGCCCAAAGAGTATGATGTGACTGTTCTCTTTGATTTAAGAAAATGAACATAATTGACGTAAATGTCTGCTGATGTGCACTTGTATAGAGAGAGCATTTCAGGTATAATGACATAGAAAAATGAACATTTAATATTAGGTAGGGATGAAGCAGGGAGTCCTGACCTCAGTCAGTACACAACCTTTAACTGAGCGTTGCTGATGCTCTGAGGAACTTCTCAGGGGAAGGCAGCAGAGTTCTGAGTCTGAGTCACACAGAAAGCTGAGTTCCTGGGGAGAGGAAGAGGAGGCATTTCTGTACACTTATGTTTCCTCCAGACCTCTGCTGCTGTTGCTTAGTCCAATGGCAGCCTTCAAGGCTGTTACCACAAAAGGGTTAACTACTCCTGCTTGGGCCAGCTGAACTTAGGGTGCAATTTGCATCTTGAGCTCTGTTGTCTTTCAGAGAGAACTGTAGATATTTGGAACCCTTTGGATTCTTGACCCCATCACTATGGCTGCTCCCCACTCAGTTCCATAGTATAATGATCTCAAAGAAGAAGATAGCAATGAATATAAAGGATACTACCAAATTTGCTCCTCTCTCTTTTGTGTAGCTCTGCCCCCTTTCTGCAGTTTTCCAATGATTTTGGCTATCTGCTGCACCACTCAGCACATCACAAGGTATATTTGAATAAGAGAATAGAGAGAAGAAAATCAGTCAGTTCAGCCATCTGGAAAACTTGTGTTGCATGATAAAGGGATTTGTTTAGAGTGGCATATTAAATACAGTATGCTGGGTTTAGTTCCTGGATTCTTGCTATCCAAAAGGGTGCTGCCCGACTTGCATGCTCTTGCTCCTGCTTGGCTCCTTTGGATTCTTTCAATAGTATTAAGCATGCATTTTGAAATTCTCAGTCTGAGTGCAGTTGCTGAGTATCTGTTTTTGTAGATATGCTTTGTTCAGTGAGAGTTCATGAGATAATCCTGTTACTGCCTTTGCAATGAACAAGTGTTCCTAAAGGCACTTTGTGGTCAGTATTTTAGATATTGCAAACCTACTCAAATCTCAGTAAGCCTAAAAACTTTAAAAAAAGAAAAAAGGACTTGTTTCAAAACACTATAACCTCTTAAGTTACTCTTTATAAACTTAAATTATATATCACACTGGTATTTTGTATCTTTTTTAATGGCAAAACACTGATATTTTTAATAACTTTGTCATAAAATGTGATTCTCCATTGTCTTCTAAACTTTGTTGTGGGAAGAAGTATGTAAAACAAAGATGACTTCCTGAAGACTTTGCAGAATAGTATTTTTCTTTGTTTCAGCACGTGTTCATCAGTGACTCTTTGGTAACTTTTACAAGTACATTTTTGAAACATACTAGTTTGAATTCCATATGAAAGACCTCAATTTAGAAAGAAAATATTCAGTAGGATGACTATAATCTATTTCATAATAATTACAAAAGTAACTGGTAAGCTGCTTGAAACTTAAAATAAAATTTATTCTGTTGGAAAATATTCACTACAGCTGAACTTTCTGAATTTAATTTCTTTATAAATACATGTTGAAGTCCAGAACTTTCTGTATAGAAGTGGAAGAGACCTAGATTAAATTTGTAACCTCTGTCTAAATATTGATCCTATGACAGAGGTCTGTTTGGTGGAAAAATATTAAAAAGGTTTCCTTTCTAATGAGAAATACTTGTTTTGCAATATGAAGCTACTGTATAAATCATTCATTGTTCTGTAGTCAACACAGAACTGCAGTACTAAATGAGACAGTTTTCATGCTACATAAACCATGTTAGGCAAACTTGGTACCTTTATCCTCTAAGGAGCAAATGAAAAAAGCAAAGAAAAATCTCACTCAGATTTTTAAGTGTTTCAGTTCCGAGAAATCTGTTCTTTCATTGTTTGGGGAGCTTTTCTGCCTCTTCAATGTTCCTTCTGTTTTCTTAATTGTGGATCCAGGGGAACAGAGTGATGAGGCTATTCCAAGCTTACATATTCATGCTAAGTATTTTCTTAAATACTTTGCCTTGATGCAAGAGAAAATGAGTTTATGCAGCATTTATTCACGTGCAGTTGTCCACAGATGCATTGTTAAAATTTAGGTAATGTCGTATGTAGAATTTACGTACTACTGCAAACTGTAACTTTATAGAGAGAAGGTTACTTCAGGAACTCTTGATTAAACAGATAAAAAAACTTTAAGTCAGGAAAGTGAAGGTGTGTTTGGTTTTTTTTGTTTTTTTCCTACTGAGTTGTCTTAATTTCTCATAAGCAGAGTTGGTATTTAAAACTGCAAGAATAACTAGACCCCTTGGCAGTATAAATAGCATCACAAATTTAAACAATACACTAGTGCCTTGCTAGGTCTCTGGTGTTTAAGAAGGTGAGGGCTGTTGTTTTGGGGTGGACCTTGGAACTTCAGTGTGGAGAGAAGTGGAGCTGTAGCTTCTGAAATTTGATGCAATAAGTGTGTTAGTACTAACTTTTAATAAAAATATGCCATTTCAAACAGACTTAAAGATACTGTTGAATGCAATTTCCACTCGTTTTGGGTTTAGGAAATTATTACTAGTCATCACTATTTTCTCCATGATATATTAATTATCTAAAATATAACCAGTGAACTGTCTATTTCTGTATTTTATCAAATTGTATTTACACAGAAAAATGCAGTCTAATAGTACTTCCTGTAGTGCCTCTGGCCTTGTGCCCAGAACTGAGGGACTCTGAGTTTAATAGGATTACCTTGATTTATTGGCCAGTAGAGACTACTGCTAGGGACAGGACAAACTCATTTTTGGGGGGTGGGGGAAGGGATATGAGAGTCATTTAAACATTGCTTATTAAAATGTTTTTTTCCAGTAATTTATATAGAATTATATTTGTGACCATAGGAGAAAGTAAGGAAGAAAGGACTTTCAGAAACTGGATGAATTCACTGGGTGTAAGCCCATATGTTAATCATTTATACAGGTGAGGCTTTCCTTTAAAACAATAATTTGATTTCTCTTGGATGACAGGGAAGAAAGAAGGAGGGAAGAAGAAAGGGAAGTTGTGTTTTTACTAAAAGAGTGATTTCTAGGTTTCCACACAGTGTGATAGGAACTTCAAAGCTGGTCTGCAGAACTACATTAAGCAGTATTTGACTCAGATATTCTACTCATGATCTAGAAATACTAGAAAACCTAAAAAGTTTTGATGTGCTCCCCTCACTCGTGTACTTTTGAATTATGTTTTTTAAGAAGTTGAGAATTGTATTTTACAAGACATTTCTCTCATGACAGATAAAATGACTACAAACCTATTAAAACAGTAATGTAATTCTAAACCATAAGAGAGGATATATGTCTGCTGAGTAGACTGTAAGAATCTGTGCAGTGTGGTATTCCCTCAAAATAAAGGTCTTTTTAGCATGTGTTTTAGATGCTTTTGATCACTTTCAAATTGTGCCAGCAGTTGATTCAAACCCTATCGATAAAAGATGGGCTATAGGGAGAAACTGGGAACATCTGCTTACATGTATGCTTTGTGGTTAGGTTTCATTGTTTCTGTTTTCAGACCTCTGCAAAGTGATACCATCTGTAGATAGCTTAATGTGGAGGATTCCATCTAGCTGATAGTGGTTTCGATTATTCTTTACCAAAATACATTTGTAGGTGCAGATAAAGCATGAGTATTTAATAGTTTGGGAATTCCCGAGGAAACTAAAACTAGGTCAGTAAATGAAAACTCTGGTTAGGTGTTTCATCTTTACCTACCCTATGAAAGCAATTATTTAATTAAAAGTTGGTAAAACCAGTGCCAGTGTTTCCTTCACTGACATTTGTGAAAATAATGAAATTAAATATACAATTTAATGTAGATAATCTCAGAAATCAAGCAATAGGATATAGGCCACTTTCTTTACAGAACAACACAAATTTTTACATGTGTCTGGAATTTTTCAGCAACTTAATTACACTTGGGGAAGCCTGAAGTACTTAACATTTTCATTATGAATATGAGCTTTTGTACTTAAAAATGTTGTTTTACTCTGGTTTAGTGACCTCTCTGATGCTTTAATAATCTTCCAATTGTATGATATGACTCGTGTGACGGTTGACTGGAACCATGTCAACAAACCTCCTTATTCATTACTTGGCGGTAACATGAAAAAGGTGGGTAGATACTTTGTAATGCAGTCCAGTTTCACTGTCTCCCACTGTGCTGTTTGTAGTAATTTGGGTTGTCTAGATTTGCATGCAAAAAAAGATCTTCCAGATATTATCCCAATGAATAAATAGCAGTTATAGCATATACAACTTTAGTTTCTAAATGTGGGCATCTTTTGGCAGTGTTTAATTTTGGGTCTAATTAGGGCTTATAAGTAAAAGTTTCAGGCCTGACACAGACATTTTACAGCCTGATGCTTTTATATTGTGAGGTGTTTCCTCACAGAATAGTTTTATATGCTGCCAGGACAATTTGTGCGAGACTTGCAGAATCCAAGCTTTCAGTTAGTTTTGTGATCATTATGAAACCAGGAATGTAGATGGAAAAACAGTTACTGTCGAAGGACAACACATCTATTGATGATCTGGACGAGGGGATGGAGTGCACCCTCAGTCAGTTTGCAGATGACACCCAGTTGGGTGGGAGCGTTGATCTGCTCGAGGGCAGGGAGGCTCTGCAGAGAGACCTGGACAGGCTGGAGCCATGGGCTGAGCCCAACTGGAGGAGTTTCACTAAGGCCAAATGTCGGGGGCTGCCCTTGGGCCACAACAACCCCCAGCAACGCTACAGGCTTGGGGAAGAGTGGCTGGAGAGCTGCCAGTCAGAGAGGGATCTGGGGGTGCTGATTGACAGCTGGCTGAACAGGAGCCAGCAGTGTGCCCAGGGGGCCAAGGTGGCCAATGGCATCCTGGCTTGTGTCAGCAATAGCATGGCCAGCAGGGACAGGGAAGGGATCTGACCCCTGTACTCGGCACTGGTGAGGCCACAGCTCGATTCCTGTGTTCAGTTTTGGGCCCCTCACTACAAAAAGGACATTGAATGACTCGAGCGTGTCCAGAGAAGGGCAACGAAACTGGTGCAGGGTCTGGAGCACAGGTCGTACGAAGAGCGGCTGAGGGAACTGGGGGGGTTTAGTCTGGAGAAGAGGAGGCTGAGGGAAGACCTCATCGCCTTCCACAACTATTTGAAAAGAGTAGTAGTTCTCTTTAACCAAGTAACAAGCGACAGGACAAGAGGGAATGGCCTCAAGTTGCGCCAGGGAAGGTTTAGACTGGATATTAGGAAGCATTTCTTTCCAGAAGGGGTTGTTGGGTGTTGGAATGGGCTGCCCAGGGAGGTGGTGGAGTCCCCATCCCTGGAGGTGTTTAAGAGTTGGGTTGACATAGCGCTGAGGGATCTGGTGTCATTGAGGACTGTCAACGTTAGGTTAATGGTTGCACTAGAGGATCTTCAAGATCTTTTCCAACCTAGATATTTACGTGATTTTGTGATTCATTTCAGTATTTTTCTAAAATCAGTTTGGATTTAAGCATAAATTCATTGACTTTAGTGGAAGTGAACTTTGTTTTCTCAAGTATGAAAAAAGATTATCGTTGGAATCTTGCATACTTGCATTTATATTAAAAACTGTTACCTGTGTTATCTTTCTACACTGTGTTAATCAGAAAGGCTAGAAATCTTTCTTTAGGTCCAAATCTCATCACAGGTAAAAGTAAATCAAAGTAACTCAAAATACACTTAGATTATAGGTCTACCTTATAGAAATACTAAGATGTTTTCATAATTTGCACACAACATTTATTTTTAGATTGAGAATTGCAATTATGCAGTAGAACTTGGGAAGACGAAAGCCAAATTCTCACTGGTTGGTATTGCTGGACATGATCTAAATGAGGGTAATCCAACTCTTACTTTGGCTTTGGTATGGCAGCTGATGAGAAGGTAAGTTAGGCCCATTATGTGATGTGTATGTATATGTATCTGTGTATGTCTGTATATGTGTGTGTCTGTATATCAAGGCAAATTAAAGCTAGTATTCAGTTCACCCAACAGGTATTTTAAAAAGCCATCTTTAAATAACCCTCTTCTCTAAGATAAATTTTTTTTTAGTTTTCCATACTGTGTAGTAATTGAAACCACAAGAGTGTGTATGTGCACACATCCATTTATAGAGACAATTAAAACCTTACATACTAAAAAATGTGATTAAAATTATAAATCCTGCAGCAAGTAAAAAGAGCACAACTTATTTCAGGTTGATTCTGTGTATCTTTCCATAAATAGAGAATAATTCAAATATTTGTAAACTAAAAAAAGAAAGATGAATAGGAAGAGGTGATGTATGTTATAGAAGTTTAAAATGGGAAGAAATGTTTAGGCCATCACAGCTCCAGTAATGTAATTATCATAAAATCAGAATCTTCCTAGGGCATTGAGCAGGAAAAAATAATATTATAACCTGATTTCAGTAAAGAGTATTTTATTGCAATATTTTGCACAAGTCAATTTTCTTACACCTACACAAAACCACTCAATGCTTTTTGTTTCTGATACTATTTTGATTCCATTTTCAAGGTGACTTGGATGGTAGGGAGCCATTTAAACTTAAAAAGTAAAATTAGCTATGATGTGCTGAGTAAAACAAATATATGAAGAAGATGTGACAGTAAATATTATTAATTTGTGGATGTTATTTTATTCTTGCAACAACCAAAAAAGTGATTTTAAGTGTTCAGTAGTTCATAAAGTAAGGGTACCTTATGAAGATATGAAGATGGGTACTTGGCATTGTTACTGTGCTGAAGTAATATTTTACTTTTGCTTGTAGCTTTGTACTGCTAGCAGAATTGTTCTACCATTCACTTTAACTTGGACTCTTTATTTTCTTTATTAAAGGTATACTCTGAATGTACTATCGGACCTCGGAGAGGGGGAAAAAGTAAATGATGAAATTATTATTCAGTGGGTGAATCGGACACTTGCAAATGCAAATAAGAAAACTTCAATTACAAGTTTCAAGGTAATCAAATTAATGTACTTCTTTCCACGTATTATCAGATCTGGGATTTTTAACATGATCTGTAACAATTTGGCTTTAACAAGGGCTCTCTGAAATGCTGGGGTTTCAACCCTGAGCCCCAAATTAAGGTTGACATCTGGGTGATTCCCACAGCCCTTCCCAAAGGGGGGGTGAGTTTGCCTTTAGGCTTCCCCCCAGGGTGGGGCCGGCCTGGCAGACAGAGCCATTGGGTAAAGGAGCCCCAGGTGTCTGCATTCAGTAACCAAAGGTCAGGTGTCCCACTGAGGGATAATAGCTGGGACCACTTGCAGGCAGGGGCAGTGTCTGTCTGTGAGGTGGATGCCCTGTGCAGAGTTCCCTGTTGGGGAAGGACCTCCTGCCTCCCTGGGACTGGGCTCCAGTCAGGTCTGGCTTTTGTAAACATGGGCTGTGTGGAGATTTAGTGTGTGGCTTCCTTGGTCTTGTGTATTTGGCTTGTTGACTCGGTTGTCTCCCGTCCCTTCTATGGGAGACTGCGTTTCACCATTTATTCCCCCCATTGTTGGTCGTGTGGTGTCGTTGTTGGGGTCAGTGGGATTGATGTCAATTATGTATAACCTGACTGACTTGTTTGTACCCCCAGCACTCACCCATGTACTGACCCTTTTGTATCAAATCCAATTTGGTTATTGGTTCATCTTTATGCTGGCTGTGTCCTTTAAGCTAGGCCTGATAATTGGCGAAATACTCTCTCATCAGCTAGCATAATTGTGTAAGGAAATATTTCTGATAGTTTGTGAATCTTCAAAAGTATTTTACAAGCATGTTAATAAACAAAAAGAAATTCTAATTGCTGCTTTAAGATTCAAAACAGAAACACCACCATCACCACCAAAGGCAACACTTTCAAAGGGGTTTCTGTCTGAAATTACCAATGTTTGGACATGGCATGTCATATATCCTCCAAATTTTTGGATATAGGCAGTATCGGGCTTGTACAAATGTGAACAATTGGGCGGGGCGGGGGGGGGTGGGAATCATCGTTTTTAATAACAGATGGCCAAAAATATGTACTGGTGTGACAGAGCCAGGAGAGGGAGCCCAAATTAACCAGTGACATGATGTGCAGCAGACCTGTACAAAACAGCAGGTTTTCCCATTCAGCAAATATGAACAAAATTGATAAAGGAAGCTTTCCTTTCATGTTATTGAAGTGTTAAACATAGAAGTAGTCCTGTATTCAGGTGTGTCATGCAGTGTGAAGCAGATTTTTTAGAAATGGTAGATCAATAATTGCACCTGCATGCAAACATAAGATCCTTATACAGGTGCACTGTATACTCTGAAAGGTTATGTCTGTGGTTCACAATAGGAATGTAAGAACCTAGCAAGTTAAATATTTGAGAGCTCACTGCGTTATGAAATTGGAATTAGGTAAGCATTAGGCCAAAGGTAATATCAATTAATTTTATAGAACAAAATATTTTTTACTCTAGAAGGTAACTTAGGTCTTCAAGGAATTGCTGCCTCTCTTATTTCTACACAAATTGTAACAAGGGTGGTATAAAGATGTTGAAACTATTAAGAGATCTGTCCCAACATTTTGCTTTTGGTATGCCTGTGGTTTTTGGGGGTCATTGGTTGTGTTTTTAAGGTAATTCAACTGACAGTAGACCAGTGAGGAGCTACTGACTTAAACTGACATTATTCAGCATACCTTTTTTTACTACTGATTTTTGACAACATACATGTATATATTGTCTATCACAATTTCAATTTTTGTCTATACTTTGAGGTTACTGCAGCAAGCAGATTTTTAAATGTGTAATTAATGTGATGGGTGTATGGGACTTCACAGAATTTGGAATAGTTCTGACCTGGTGGCAAGGGCAGCCATGTCATGAGGCTCATGTGCCAAGCCCCTGCAGGGACAGAGGCAGCCTCACTGGCACTGCTGCTGACTCTTGGTTTGACACAGTCAGCTGCTTATCTGTCCTGACAGTTGGGAAGAAATAATTGCAGCAATAGCACTTGCTGTTTGAAGAATAGAAGAAAACACATGTCCATGTGTTAAATACAGAACACAGACTGCTCGTACTAGCTCAGAATACCATCTGAGTTGAAAAATTATAAAAAGTGAGACACAAACTACTGCAGAAAATAGTTCCATTACAAGAAAAGGAGAAAAATAAAAGTAGTTGGGGAGTGTAAGTACCTTTTTGTTGTCTTTAATAGTTCCCTTCCTTCCTTAGGGAAGGGGCTGGAGTTTCACTAAATAATTTAAAGCATTTGTGGAATAATAATACCAACACTAAATGTGAACCTTATCATTCTGATTGTGAAAAAGAACATTAGACCTCATAAAGAGGGAGAAAAACCTTCACACGAAAAGTAAAAAAACATGCTGCTACCTTTCAATAGGTATGTAAGATGTGCTGTAGGGTTTTTTGCGTGTGAAGACGGAATAATCAACACAAATTCCTTATACTAATCTTTTGAGTCTTCTCTTTTAGGACAAATCAATTAGCACTAGTTTACCTGTCCTAGATTTAATAGATGCCATTGCACCAAAAGCAGTTCGTCCAGAAATGGTCAAGAGACAAGATCTTTCTTACCAAGACAAATTGAATAATGCTAAGTAAGTTTTAAATGAATGCTTTGTGTTTTCCTTATGTGCAGGAAATGCATGAGTTAATTGTGCAATGAATGATTTACTGATTTGTCAATGGAGAGATTACACTAATATTAGTTGATCTGTTTCAAACAGAAATATTATAAATTTCATATTCTAGAGCTAATTTTCTAGCATATTTAAAATATGAACTCACATTCATGGCTAATATGACCCACCACTACTGTGCTGCAATTGGTTTATTAATAGCCTGCCATAACTCATATCGGTTTTGACAAAAAATTCTTTGATAGCCAGTAGCAAAACGTTTGCCAATACAATTGCTAATTACATCACAGTAACATCCATTTTCTCATAGAGTGTAAGTGCTGACTGAACAGGTGTATCCTGCTATTAAAATCTGTTGTTTTCAATCTTGTCATGCTGGTAGATGCAAGGAAAATAATATTTATTTTCTGTTGTTTTCCAAGGTATGCTATTTCAGTTGCTCGAAAAATTGGTGCTCGTATATATGCTCTCCCAGATGATCTCGTTGAAGTGAAGCCAAAAATGGTGATGACAGTGTTTGCATGTTTGATGGGAAGAGGACTGAACAAAATAAAATAATGAAGACGTAATTTAACTTCCTGCCATGTTAAGCACGATGAATGCCTCACGGTTTACAGAGTTCTGAAGCTTAGTATAAAATTTATATGCACAAATATACTCATTAATTATGTTTTAATAATATGTTTATTAGTTAAAATTTTATTCAGTTTCACGACATGCTGATTATTTATGGATAATATTGTTTTCAGAACATGTTCATAACCAAATTAACATCACAGATTTGTATTCCTTTAACACCCCACCACCCCCCAATATTAATCAAGCTTCATTTGTATTTGTTTCCATAGCATTGTAAGAATCTGCATCATTTTACATATGTTATTTCAGGACCTATTGTGAAACACTGTTTGATTTTTTTGTGGGTGTTACTTATAGTTCTACAAGTCTCAGAACATAAGTTCTCACAGAAGTTATCATCCTTGCCTTATTGTTTGAGAACAACTCCTGTTGAAGCCAATGGGAGTCTTGTCATTGACTTCAGTGAGAGCAAGTGAAGGCCTATGATAATGTCTGGAACCTAATGAATGTTCATAAAGCTGATGAAACTTTTTTGTGGGCATAATCTTTAAATATATGCAGTAGTTATTGAGCAGCAACTTTTACGGTCTGTGTGTTAAGAAAAAACAGCAAATAGTAAGCAGAAATGTAATTGTGTCATTATTAGGTCTGCATATGCGCTAGCTTTTGCAGTTGATTTTTTTAAAAAATTTCGTAAAATATTGTATAACAAAACAATAAAGAGCTGACTTGTCCAGTTTGGGGTTCACATTTGATGTATTGCATTTCCTTATAGATTATTCTTTTGATTTTCCTAAAGTGTATATCATGTGTGCAGAGGTTTTGTCTAGAAAGACTGGTGCATTGTTTGGATGATATAAAGTCTAGAATGTATTATTTTTAAGTAAGTACTTGTACTCCTTTCTCTGCCACTGTAAAATTTCACCACACATTCTCGAGCTGGATCTTTCAGAAAGTGAGAAAAAGAAAATTAAATAAAATATTTTTTGTTTAAGTATGAGGCTCCTAATTTCTCCCAGCTCCTGAAAAGTCATAAATGTGGCAAAACCCAATAAATTTGACTAAGCTTTACATCTTCACTATCTCGCACAACATATTAATAAAAAGAAGATGCATCCATTTAGTTTCTATTATATAAAGGGATACTGGGAGTTGAGAGAATTAAGTGCTTGGATTTAGATCAATTTATCTCTTTTTACTAGTTTGTATTGTCTGGATGAGAATAAATTATTAATACTTGATAGTTATTTATTCCCAGTTTCTAAAAAGAGTGTTGTAGAGAATTTGAGTTCTTTGCCCTGAGTTTGGAGACAACTCAGTTTAGCCTGTCTTGAATGAGGACTTAAACTAAGGCTTACTTCATCTCTATACTGCAAGAATAAATGATCTCTTCTTAAGATATACAGTTCTAAAAGTAGTGTATTTACCTACCCCAGCACTTGGCAACTTACTCTGTAAGGGTCAATATTTCCTGTTGTCTTAACTATTGCTGTAGTGTTTGGTTCCCCTTAAGGAAGAAAATCTGCTACAATTATGTGGCTCATTATATGTCTGGAATGACTTTAACTTTTGATCAAATTGAAATGGGTTTCAGGGGCAACCGCCTTAGGCTTCTCAGTATAAAAGTTTGACATACATACTAAGAGCTATGTGTTGAAGGATAAATGACCACTCACACCATCTGAAAAGAATTGCCTCCTCAGGATAGTGTTTGTTTTAAAGACTCCAAGTGTTAACCAAACACTATTTTTTCTTAAAGCAGATTCAAAAAACAGTAAGGTGGACTTGCAGCTTTCATTAAACCTTATAGCTTAGCTGAAGTCCGTAAAGCCATGAACTCCGGTTCTGTGTATCTACGTGCTGCCCACATGTGCCAAGGAAGTAAGTGGAAAGCTCCTGTCTGTCATGCTGAGGGAAGGCACAAAAAATTAGTTTGTGTCGGGTAGCTCATATGTGTAAATGTCTTTTTGAACTTAAAGGACAAAATGGCGCGATTTTAATATGAAAAGGGAGAAGAGACAGGATTTCTAGAAGCATTCACAGGAAAGTGGATGAAAGACTGTTGAACGAGTATTTGGAAATGGGCCTCCTGCAGCGCTCAGCCTGATGCTGGGGCGAGCAGGGCCGCAGTGACTACGGCAGCTGGAAGGAAACCGGGGCGATGGGAACACGCAGAGACCTGTCTCTTAAACTGATCTTAAGGTGTCAGAAATGTTGGACTCTGCGATAGGCTTTCAGTCGTGCTGGAGGGTTTTGTGTCCGGCAGGACATAATCACGGTTGTCGGCGCTGGTGTGTTGCGGTGCGGAGCTAAGCGCGTTCACCTCCGCAGGAGGTTTTCGGGGTGACGCTCCGGCGGGCTGCAGGGGTGGGTGCTGGTGGGTGTCCTGCTCATGGTCACTGCCCTGCCCTGGAGATCAATCTGAGCCACAGCTTCTGCTCTACGTATAAACAGAGGCTCAGGGAACTAAGAGGATGCACAATGAAAAATGTTTAAAAAATTTAATTGTGTATATAACAGCTGGTTTAGTACTCTTGCAGACTCTCTACATACTCTAGAAGTATTCTATATATACTTCTGTAAGTATTCTACACTAAGGTCTGTTTTTGTTATGGTCTTCTATGTTGCAAAATAATTGGTTATCCTTGAGAAAAATTATTCAAAGTTTTTATCTTTGTCAGTAAGAATCAATTACCCAGAATAATACTAAACAAGGTAGCCTGGTGTGCCTGTACATCAGTCAGATAGGAAGGTACAGTTTATGTACATCTTACTGTAGTTGGCTTTACTTGTTCATCAGGCATGCTATCTTGAATTCTATAACATTGCAGCATTGTATCATACCTGCTTTGATGATATATATGCTAAAATTGGAGTTACAGAGAGGACATAATGTGGTTTCTGCTGAAGGAAGATGCAAACCTGTTTGTAGCATTATAGAGAGGGGTTTGTCTGAGCCTATGGCTCTTGAACTGAGAAGCTTTCTCTGATGTAGTTGAACTTGATGCTTCTTGTGTGTCACAGGTTATGTATGAGCTATTGCCCCAGTTTTGAAAAGTACCCATGCTTTTCTGTGTCTTTGTTTTATAGTACTGGAACTAAAGCAGTGGATTAAAGTACATGTCTTAGTGCTTTCCTGAAGGAGACATCCCAAAATACCTTTAGTTTCCTCCCCGATGAGAGAATGCTTATCTACCTTGACTTCTTAATTGTCTGACATGTTCAGTGTCTGTTGTCAGCTATGGAACGTTGCCTTGTTTTGATGGTAGCTGGTGCTTGTAATGTTAACGTGCTTTTAGTGCTTTAGAATAATATTAAGTGACATTCATACTTTATTGTGCAGGTGACTATTACATGGTTAAGAAACTCTTAGAGGAAAACAGCTCGGGCGAAATGAACATAAATTGTGTGGATGTGCTTGGACGAAATGCTGTCACCATAACCATTGAAAATGAAAACTTGGACATACTACAGCTTCTTTTGGATTATGGTTGCCAGGTATACAACACATAAGTTATTGAAAATTTTCAGTGTAGTCATTGATCTGTGTATTCTACTCTTCATATATCATCTCTGTTAATCTGTCAGAATTTGGAAGGAAATAGAATCTGTCTTTATTGGCAGTTCAGTTCTTTTTCCATTTAGTAATTGTGAAAGTGTTTTCACTAATTTACATTTTTAGTGGAATTTTATTAACATGGTAAATGTGTAGTAACATTTTCAGTGATATTATTAAGTCTGAATGTTGTTTTAAAAGTTATTCCTGTTGTAGAGATAACATACATTATCTTCAAGCAAAATAAATAGCATACAGGCAGTGCATTATATTAAAAAGTTTAGAATGCAAAGATGGCTTTGGCTGTGGAGTATAACAACTTTAAAAATGCTAGTACAGTTAGATAAATGCGCATTATATTAGATGATTTTAAATTAAGGCAAGAATGTGTTTCTGCAGTGCTTTCTTGTTAAACTTGATCTGTGCTTGATGGCAGAAACAGTTTCATACCAACAATATTTCATTAATTGAATACATCATCTCTGCTGCTGCTGGGAGAGTTGTAGCTATGATGGCTTAAGTATGTAACACAGGGAAAAGTAGTATCTTTTGTTAGGTTTGATATTGGATGGGAAAAAAACAGTAAGCTTTTCTCTCACTTGATCTCCCTTTTAGTGGTGGTAATAAAATCTGTCTTTTATTTTTAAAGAAAAAATTTGAATTTTGTCAAGTAAATAGAAAAGAGTAATATCAACTGTAGGGAAAAAGAAAAGCTGTGTAGCTCAATTTAAGAGAAGTTGCAGAAGTAGTTACCAGCCCAGAATAAAATCCCTTGCATTCCTAGCTTTACCACAGAACTATGAATGTGGGGCTGAAGTATATGCCTAAGTTTTATTACACAGACACTTGCTTTTAACATTTTTAATAACCTGGTAAATGGTCTCTTAGAACTTGATTTTTGCAGGTATCCTGCATCATCTTTACTGAAAATTAATTTCTGCAATTGGTTCTTCTGCTGTTTGTGCAATGAAACGAATTGTCAGTAATGTTATGCTAACTCCTGGAATGACAGCCTGAATTTTTATTCTGCTCATATGCGTGGTGATAATACAGAACATGGTTCTAGTGCTTTAAAAATAAAATTAAATTTAAAAATGCAGTTTGGCTTCAGGTTGACTCTATGCTGTTTAAGTTACTGCTGTCTTCACACGACTTATTTTCTTTCTTTAGTCATCGGATGCACTTTTGGTAGCTATTGACTCAGAAGTGGTGGGGGCTGTTGACATTCTACTTAATCACCGACCAAAAAGATCCTCCAGACCAACCATTGTAGTTGAGTGTTGTTACCTCTTGATTTTTGGTTGGGGAGTGGGGGGCTGTGCTATTGCGTTTGGGTAACCATCATATTTAAAACATTTTTAAATTAAATTCTACATCTCTAAGGTGATAGAATTTGGACATTAGAGATTATTTTCATAGCCTCTTTTGTCTTAAAGGATAGAATGCATTATTCTACTGCCTAAGGAATCGAGTGATTTATCCATGCCAAATGCTAACAGATGCCTAGTTAGTCCAGAAGAGAAAAAAACAAGAGTTGTTAAATCTTCTCTTGTAGACTACTGCTAGGTAGTTAACAACCTTGACCTATAGTGGGTATATTTATGTATGAAGCTTAGTATATTTTTTGAGCAAATCTATAAAGATCAAATCTTCACCATGAAATTAATGAGTTGAAACTTATCTTGGCAATGGTCAAGTATCAAAGAAGTTTTAAAAGTTCACAAGTAGGGGTGGAGGGAGGGGAAAAAATAAGGTATTGTGTAACAGAGTATGATACAATCAGAGTATTTTTCCTGCATTTAGCTAGTAAATGTAATTTTTTTCTCAAACTAGAGGAAAATACATATTTTAATATCATTCATGAATATTGGAGGAGGTAGGCACTGACGAGAAACATTTCGGTGTCCGTTTTTCTTTTTCCAGTATTTATCTGAGACGTGTTTGAATGTTGTTACAAATTTTTCCTTATTTTCATGTTATAAAACGTAGGAAGATATTTTGAAGGAGAGATTCATTGTTGAACAGGCGAAAAACCCCTTATATGTAAATGCTGTAGTAATAAATTTAGATACTTCCTACATTTCATTCCAGAAACTAATGGAACGCATTCAGAACCCAGAGTACTCAACGACCATGGATGTGGCACCTGTCATTTTAGCTGCTCATCGTAACAACTACGA